TCTGAATGAATGAGATGGTCGAATGCTTTCGAGAAGTGACTGAATAAAGCGTCCACCTGAAAACTTAATTCAAGGGCTAAAGAAACGTCTTGTCTGAATCCTGTCAGCTGACTGATTGTAATGAATCCACTACAACGTTTGTGTTGTGCACTGAAGAGGACGGTGTTAGATTCAACAAAGAAGATTAAGTAAGTAAAGATGATATGTTCTATTATTTTGCATGAGTGAGCGGTTGGTGATATTGGCGTGTAATTTAAAAGAGATCGCTTACTACCGGGTTTGTGTAGAGGAAACACTTGTGCACTTTTCCATACAGATGGTACAAGTGGTGTTGACAATAATTTTTTTAAAATGACTTAAATGTGTTAGTTTGTTCATAATAAACAACGATGAACAAAAATATTTTGATCATTGTCTGGGCTGGACGACTTTTTCAAATCAACAATTAAAATTAAACTATGTACACCTTTTCTGGACACAAACACATCATCAATAGATATAGGCGAGACACTGTACGTACTGCAAGTAGAAATTTCTCGATTATCTAGACCAAGTACAGATGTCAAATATTCATTGAAACAGTTGGAAATAACCTGCGGCTCTCTAGTGCGAGTTTCACTAACGATGGATGTATTAGCGGTCGATTCTTGCGGCAAAGTTGAGCTCCAAAATGTTCTAGGGTTATCCCTAACTATATTTGGTAAAGAGATTGTGTAGAAGAAGTTCTTAGCAGCACCTATTTTTCTCCGTAGCTCTTGCTTCACTATGTTAATTTCCGAAGAACAGTGTTTGTTTATTTGTTTCCCTGGGATGATGGGTCATACCCACTCAGGGGAGTTGGCCAGGAAAGTGTAGTGCAGTGTTTTTGTGATCATTTTAACTATGTGTAATAAATTTGTATTATAATATGACTAATGTAAGGAAAACCAAATAAAAAAGAGCAAACGAAAAAAAATAGAAAAGTTAGGTTGAGCAATTTTGAGATTTCAGGTGTTGCAATTACCACTCACCTGTGTTTACTTTACTTTGCCCTGAGGAGTAATAAATATTATTTTTGAATGAAGATCACAAAGGAATACGCTTGGTTGCCTGAATATAATCGGAAATGGCATTAAAAGCATTCCTGTGGCAATGTCCCAAAACTCAGGCAACAAAGCTTAGCGCAGTTTCCGCCGTCAATCTAACGCCTATTTTCAGAAATGGAATAACTAGTAACCTTTTTCGAAGTATAGCGTAGCGGCGACTATAAAAAAATAATTTTTTGGTGATTCTATTTCTCCGCAGAATCCGCAGAGGGGTGATGTTGTCTGACCAGCTTTGTGTAGATACAGGTTTAGGGGGGGGGGGGGCACGACATCGACATTTAGTATTTAAAACTTCGAGCCTTTTAGACTGGCTCTGGTGGGGTCGCCATGGAAACTTGAGGTGGTTATATTCTGTCCATGTAGTAACTTTTTCTATCGTATCAGTGTAGATTGGTGATTTTCGATATCTTATTGCCGTAATATATACATCATCTGGCAGTGTGGATAAAACTGGCCCATAAAGTGCAGCTCGTGCTAACGGATTGGCCAATTCATTTATTCTTAATTCACAGTGTCCCGGAACCCATAGTAGCCTCAGAATTCTCAACTGCGGGGGTACTGATGTTTTGAATGTGCTTAGCATTCGAGAGTTCTCTGAAACTGTCAGAGCGGCAGAAACTAAAGGAGAGTCCGTCACTATGACAGCGTTGTTTTGATTTGACGGAAGTTTTCGAAGAGATAAAATAATTGCCACGAGCTCCGCTTCAAAAACGGGAGTAAAATCATGCAGTCTCACTGAAAAGGACCAGTCAAGCCAATCAGAGGCAATGCTTACACCTGCCCTTTGATTATTTACTGAAGCATCTGTGGCTATTATATTTTTAGTTTCTGCATGCTCCAAGTAATCTAATATTATGTTATTTAAATATTTGAGATATTGTAACTCGGCGTTCTGGGGGAATATATCATCATACTCAATTATAAAATGACAATTCGAACATTAGTCTCAATTACATTTCTAATGTTCACATTTATACTTTGTAAATTTTTTTGTACAAACATTATATGAGGTGTTTCAAACCGTGGCCAATGAGCAAAAAAGAAGGCGTCTGGGTTTGCGATAAAAGCATATTGAGATCTTCTTGCCGGTAAGCTATAAAATTTTAAAAATGCTTGTACGGTCAAAATTCGAGATCGACTAAGTAGTGTAACCAGGCGCGCTTCCTGGTACAGTACGGTGATAGGCACCAACCTAGGGAGTCCCAGACACATTCGCAGCGCTTCTCGCTCCAAGACAACTAGCGGTTTCGTTTTATAAGCAGGGCCACCCAAGAATAGTATGCATCCGAATTCCCTGATGGGGCGAAGGACATTGCGAATACGACTTCCTCGTCTTCGTCAACGTTTTCATTTCAGAATTTCTCCCGTTATTCATGGAAGTTCAAGGCTTTCATTTTTAGAATTTACAGGAAGATACGTATCAACACACTTTTTTGAGAAGGTTTTCAAAATAAGAGGCCAAAATGTACACGTCACAGGCATAGCTAATTTCTTTAAACATGCCAAACTCGCTACTTAAAGAGCCACTTATGGACACATCATCGGCCATGCTATGGTCAAGGTAACTTGTGCATTCATACCGACGTTTTGAAACTGTATGGTTACAAGATAGTAATACGCCTGTGTGGCCAGAAAAATCATTAATCAATTGAAATGTAAAGCCGCTGGTGTAAAGTAAGGAACTCAGAAAAACGCAGTCTAGGATAATATTGTCGCTTGTTGCATCAGTCACAACATGCTACAGTCTTAAGGTTATAAAAAAATAACCATGTTTCCACAAAGTGGAAAAGCGGCATCTAGAATGGATAGTGAGTAGCATGAATTGCCGGTCATATTAAAGTCATCAATGCAAATTAGGTTGCCTGAACAAAACCTTCTTTTGTTCGTGAAACTACTGAGTACTATCAACTGATCTCGTGATGAACCGGGGGGACTATGAAATACGCCGACAATTAAAGGAGAATTCGCGATATGAACATTACACATAATAGTTTTTATATCTGGAAGCAAGTTCAATACAAAAAAGCTCAAATCAGATCTCAAGAAGATGGCCACGCCACCACCGCGGCCGTGTTGTCTACCAGCACAAACAACATTGAACCCCGGGGAATCGAATGTGAACGTGAAGCCAAGTTTCTGTGGCACCAATATTGTGAGAACAATAAGTTTGAAAATGATAATACAATTTTGCATTTGAACTGGCGCCCTTAAAGTGCAAGGAGAGATAAAGCTGTCCAGAGAGTCTGTGCACTTCCTCTGGCACAGCTTCCGTGAAAGCAAAGTGAGGGTGAGCAGGAGTGATGTTAAAAGGACGAAAAAGCGTAGCGTGGTCTTGTATGGCAGTAGGCACAAATCTAAGGCACGGCCATGTATATCAAGAGAGTGGGAAAGAAAAGCGAGGCTGAGGGAACGAGAAACGGAGAGAGTAGAATAGTCGTGTGTGTAATTAGGCAGGTGCAACCATTTACACCATAGCCAGCCACAGTGAGGGAACGGGTATGGTAAATTCACGAGAGATGCGATGCGGGCTTGTTGTTAGCTCATTTTACTTATAGCACACGTAAACAACAGGAAGGAATTTAGAAAGACAGAGTGGTTTGTCTGTCTATATGTACCTTCATTTATTTCTTTTGTTTACGTGTGCTACAAGGAAGCTTCCTGGTGATCGCAAGGGGAAATGATAGGAAATCATATCGTTCACGGATGCAAAAAGCATGTACAGCATAGTCGTACGTGTTGGTCTAAACACGAAGTGAGGATGAGGGTGAGGATTAAGAGGAGTGAGTGATGTGTGACGTTAGGCAGGCACGTCTATATATATCAGCCACCTGTATATTATAACTGTGTATAGCAAGAGAGTGGGAAAGGAAAGTGAGGTTAATGTATAAGGAAAGAGCGGTGATTGTATCCGGTAATCTCACGTTGTTTTCTGGCAACACGCAAGCAAAACAATGTATATCATAGCGAAATATAGGAGGCAGTAAGAAAGAAAAGTGCTGAGGGGAGGGGGTAAAGCAGTGCATAGCTGTGCTCAATTGGACAGAAGAGTGAAGCAAGGTTGAGGAGGAGTGACGTGAAAGAAGTGGAGACAGTGAGAGCGCACCAATGCATCGAATTTTCAACCATGGAGCGTCCACGCTTGTTCGTGAACGCGCCGTGCTCCCGACCTGGTTGCAGAAATTAGGTGCCTTTTCTAATCTTCTAAGCACTACCCCCACCCACCACCACCCCCACGCAAGCGTGGCTGAAGGAACGAACTTTCTTCAGCATGCTGTGTTCGTCCGGTACGCTTACACTCTGGTGCAGCGACCCAAGCGCAGGTTTCTATTTATATAGTCTAGTAACGTAACAATCAACTCCTGATCCTTGCGTTCATCGCCTAAGGGCTGGCGCATCACTGCTCTGCCTTTTCTTAGCCTTCGCGCTGAGTCCAGCTTTTTTTTTCTACGCCCAAGGCTTTCTTTTGCACTAAGTAGATATGTACAAGGTACATAATTGGCCCTAACTCGGCCTACCGCAATCATCCCTCTAGCCAGCCAGTGTTTTGAACACATAATTAGGCCAGGGAAAGCATACAGGAAAATAATTGTTTTCTCTAAATACAGCGTACTATTGGTGAACCAAAGTTGAATGAATCAAAGTAGATGAAAAATGAAGGTTATGATTTCAAAAGGCACCATCTCATAAACAATAATTTTTCGTCCACTTCAATTAATTTCTATTTAGCTCACCGTCAACTACTGTTAGAGACAACAAATAATTTCATTTTTATTTCCTTTGGCTAAATTGTTGGTTAGATTCATTCACGTTATAATGTACTGTGCATGATAGTATTTCGATGCCCAAGTTAGAGAAATTTCGCTTGGCGCAATTGCTTAACTTGTCGCCCCTTTTCTCTTTGGCATTTTTCTACAGGCTTTGCTGTTTTCCACCACAGAAGAATTCCTTTGCTCTGGCGTAATAATAGGCCCTAAAAACGTATTGAGCACCGCAGACTGCGTTCACAAGTTCCAGTAAGTGTTCGTTTTCATTACATCTCTCTGTTTTATCGTTTTGTTTTTTCGTCGACGTCACATGAAGACGCGATGCATATCTCAGCTCGTTGAAGGTTGAACACATCCGTGTGATGAAGACAACCAGCACTCATGGGGCCAGCAGCTGCCTTATTTCCAGACATGGTACAGAACACGAAGTATTTCAGATGCCCAGAACGTGGTTTATATTCACGTCGGCAGTCATTGTAGTTTCAGCTTGTTGGAACACTAAGCACGCTTCACTGGGGGACATTATTGTGTAGGAGACTGGTGGCGAAGCAGAGTCACTGTCCCGCAGCATCGTCCGTTAGAAGAGGGACTTGAGTAAAGAGTTTTTCAACGCTTTAACTGGTCATGGATCTTGAGCAAAAGTTCCAAATAGGGACCCGAGCAACCGGTAAAGGAGCCCTCGTCAACACGAGGGCATCAGAGTGGTTCCGGTGTGGCAGTGGTATGGCGCGGGCTGGAAAAGCGAAGCGAGAATGAACGCAACCGTGAAGAGCGCATAACATTTATTTATTTATTTAGTTATTTATTGATTTATTTATTTATACTGCCATTTTCAAGAAGGAAGTATAGCAGGGACTGCAAGTAAATACATCAAATATTATAAACAGCAATAAAAGGTGACTCTATAAAAAATAGGTGAACACTACACTATCAAAGATACACAATGTAAAAGCAAGAAACAAATACGTTGAAAAAAAATATTTGTGATAGGTTACCGTTATATATATATATATATATATATATATATATATATATATATATATATATATATATATATATATATATAAATATATATGACAAATATATATATATATATATATATATATATATATATATATATATATATATATATATATATATATATATATATATACTTCACTAACAACGAAAACAAGACTAAGTATACTGTTAACATAAAAATTTAAAAGTAAAGGTATATACAACATAGCCAGAGATTTGCACTTGTGAGGCGAATAAAGAGACTCAATTCGTCTAGATTTCCTCTGATCTTAGCTTACTGTTGCCGGTAGTATACTGGAATTATGGCAAACAGATAGGGCTGTTTTCAGGTATTTGCCTATAAAACTCGCTTTCCTCGATCAATAAAGTTTGCCATTTTACAACAACATTTAAAATGAAATTTGGAAACACTTCTTTTAACTTTCATGTTAAAATTTTTTCAGTGTTTTTTACTTGCTTTGTTCCTTTCATTTTCTTTGCATGATGTCTAAGTTATTTACCACTTTTCATTTGTTGATGTTGTATGCCTTGCAACTTTTAAACTTTTTTGCGCTCTTGCTTTTATGTTTTTACTGAGAAATTCTCGCTTCATAATATGCTTTTCGTCGTCACTTGTCTGCCCTGTATTCCATCAATCCAATCTTTATAGGAGGTTCCGCTGACATGTATACCTTGATACCTCCTTCTGTAGCACTTTCGAACCATGTCATTTTGTATTTGATGATGCTATTTTAGTACACGTTCAATGAAAACCAATAAATATACAGGTTGTAGGAACGTCACTAGAGTAGGACTATATATGGATAATATAAGAGGGTAAATCGTTTCGTTGTCAGGTGGAAAGTGGAAAAAGATTCGGCAGATCCCACGTATCTTGGAATCAACTTTATGCGAAGCACGTAGAGGAAAGGTGACCGTGTTGCATCTTTTTTTGAGCGACGCGTCATGAAATGGCGCTACATAAATGTAAAAATGTTGCACGCAGAGACATATGTTGAAGAGTTACAGACGTTTATATAACCAATTTTCTACTTGCACAACAATGTCAGCTAGAAACGTGTTTTAGCAACACCAGAAGCCGAGATAAAGCGCTCATTGTCACGAAGTTGCTGGCTCTTGACAATGCTACTCAAATCAATTTCAGCACATGAAACGTCACCACAATCGACGTTAACCGGACGTGACGGCTGTATGAAAGGAGTACATATGTAATGTTTACAAAATTGGATAGGCAGCACTGCAACTACTATTGACGTTTCACGAACATTAGCGTCTATTTGAACAGTAGTTCCGAGACCTGGCATATCTCTGTGGTAGAATGCTTGACTTGCACAGAGAATGCTTGAGCTCGATTCCTGCTGGGATAATGAAATTTATTATTTGCCGTCGTCGGGTGGCTAACGCTGCCTATTCAGGTTTTTCTTAACACTGACATTTATTCTATGTCTTCGTTGTGTCGACGCTACCGATATCGGGTATTGTCTAACACTCACGCGTTGAAATTGCCCATGTGAGTGTTCTCATCGCTACTGGATAGATACTGATTGTCAATCACTTGTGGCACATACCCGCTTACCAGCGGCACATACCCGCCCGTGAGTATGTGCCACTGTCTGACGGGAAGTATTTGACGACGTACGTGACGGGATTGGGACAATATTCATGTCTTGACCAGCGCGTCATATTCATCAAACCATCTCACCCTTCCATGCTAATTTTGGTTCACGCCAAGTTAAGGGGGTGACCACGAGAGCACCCAAACGTAAGCAACTATAGATAGATAGATAGATAGATAGATAGATAGATAGATAGATAGATAGATAGATAGATAGATAGATAGATAGATAGATAGATAGATAGATAGATAGATAGATAGATAGATGATAGATAGATAGATAGATAGATAGATAGATAGATAGATAGATAGATAGATAGATAGATAGATAGATAGATAGATAGATAGATAGATAGATAGATAGATAGATAGATAGATAGATAGATAGATAGATAGATAGATAGATAGATAGATAGATAGATAGATAGATAGATAGATAGATAGATAGATAGATACGCTCAAAGTGGCCGAAGTTCACTAAGAAATGCTTCGCCTTTAAAATTAAAGCGGTAGTTCAGTAGTCTTTCAGTATGCTCATGACTGGTCTGTCTTGTTTAATATTTGTACAGGTAGCGTTTGCTATCAATTGACAGTAAGCTATGCACCAAATGGTATATTACTTTCATACGAGCTAGTTTAGCACAATTTTGTAAGGTTAGTAGTCGAGCTCTGTTGATTAGTTGAAATGAGGTCGTTTGCTGCATGGTGTAAATTAATCGGATTGCCTTTCTCTGCACTCTCTGCAATGTGTTTACTAGTTTTTTTGGCATATGGAAACCAGACTACTTTAGCATACCCTGAAGCACGTGTCAGAAATGTTGTATCGAGGAGTAGTTTAAGTTCTGAAGTTGTATGTCGTAGTCACCTTCGAAGGAAGAAACGTTTTTTAATGCTTTTAATGATACGACCTTAACATGAGAATTCAACCTGTGGTTTTCTGATATTACCACAACAAGATATTTGCATCTATTACGGAGTGTTGTCGGCTTCGTATGAGCACAGAGAGATATTTTAGTTTCTATTTAGGCGCAAGACTGCTGATTTCTTAACATATAGAGTCATTTGCCATTGATGACACCCGTCTGTGATTGATTTCAGCCCACGACTCAATATCTTGTGATCTTCAGGTGAACTAATTTTGTGCTGGATTATACAATCATCAACGATTAGTCTTGCGTTAGTGCTGACACCACCAGAAAAATTGTTGGTGATTATTACGATTAAGATGTGGGCGAGGACACTACCTTGAAGAACCCAGAAGGTAACCTTGGTGACTTCTGAAAACTCGTGGTTTACGTCAACAAACTGCATTTGGTTGAAAGGAGAGCTTTTAATCTATATGATGATTGGCCCATCGCTTATTGTAAAGTGAAGTATTTTAATCAATTTCGCGTGCGACACTCAGTCAAACGCCTTGGGGAAGTGGAGCAGTATTAAGTCAATCTGCTTTTGGTAGTCTATGCTTGAGCATAGTTCATGTACGAGTACTCATAATTGTGTAAGTGTAGAAAGTCCTCGGCGGAATCCATGTTGACTAAGTGATAATACATAACTTTGTCCGAGGCGTACGATTGTATGTTCGAGAATGATATGTTCAAGAACTCAACATACAGTGCTGGTTAGATAGACAGGCCTGTAGTTACTGGGAACTTTTTTACTACCGGTTTTATTTACAGGAATTATTCTAGCATTTTTCCAGTCCATAGGGAGGCAAAAAGTTTTTAAAGCTTTGTTAAAGATGAGACACCGGAATTTTGCGCTACTCATTCTGCATGACGCGTTAAAAACTGATTTGGAATATTATGTGCTCCAGTCCCTTTTTTCAGATCTAGGTTAACTAGCAGGTTATATACTCCCACCTCATCTACTTCAATTGGCTCAATTTTACTACTGTAGGTAGTCAAGACGTCCGAGGTGTAACAATAGTGATTGTTGGCCTAGTTGGTACTTGCTTACTGACATGCTTTGGCCGCAAATAAGACAAACACAAAGTAAAGAAACACTCACCGACAAGCACAAGTGGCGTGTGCTTGTCGTTGAGTGTTTCTTTACTTTGTGTTTGTCTTATTTGCGGCCAAAGCATGTCAGTGAACATGCGAGGTGCTTCTGTTATCTGCAGTGAAGACTGGTTAGAAGTACAAGGTAAATGAGTTGGCTACATGTTTACTTGCATGAGGTGTTTGTGGGCTGGCAGCATCTTTATTTGGGCTTAGGTAATTCCAGAACTTTTGAAGAGAGTTTCTCAGATAGTTGGGAAGGGAATATTTAAAGTAAGTATCCTTAGCCTTCTTTATTTGGGATTTTTGGTTACTAATTTTTCTATCAGGAGTAGTACTAGTAACCAAGTTGTAGGTCTTCTGTAGGATTTCCTGAGGTGCTTCACTTCTCGTTTCTAACGAATTAATTATATCTAGATTTATCCACGGTTTGTCTTTTCATAAGTGGGCACAAAGTTACAGACGCAAAAGGATGAAATCACTACAAATCTCTGCCACACTGTTTCAATGTCGGTGTTTTTGTCGTCAGCTAGGTCTCTAAAAAAACAAATTCCAAAGTCACGTTATCTAGTACGCTGGTGTCATTAGCTGCATTGAAGTGGAAGAAGGTTTTTGTACATTTAGTTAAAATAGTTTTGGACATTGTTGAAATACTGCAGAGCGTTATTTTGTGGTCAGCCGATCCGTCGTGAAGGAGAGCTTTGGCTGAGTCCACAACAAATGGAACACTTACGGTGTCTTCTATTGGCAGACAGATTCGAAGCACTTCCGGTAATACTTTGTTTTGCTCCTGCGGAGCAAGTATTTTCTATTGGCGGGTTGAGAGTACCTCCTGTATGTTCCACGGGAAGATCTGGAGCAGCTTCGTCGCGGGATCCACTCCACGGAGCAACTTTTTTTGCTCCGCGAAAATCAGCGGAGTCAACCAGAAGTTGCAAGCGCCCCGTGCCTTGAAATGGTGCCGACTATGGGCGCGCCAACGGACGCCGGTCCCTTCAGTTGCGCCTCGCGTGAAAGCTCACGTATTGCTAGCGTAGCGTCGCTGAGCCTCGCGTGCCGACTCAAGCAAGAAGAGAGACGCACATCGCGTTTCATTTTGAC